GGGCCATGCTCACTCATATTTGACTCAGAGTAAATCTCTTAAAATATTTTAGAGTTTGACTCTTTTCGTTGACAAAAGCTAGTGGGGAAATAATCTCAGAACTGTTTGCCATACTGAATGCCACACATTGAAAACATCACTAATTTGTTTCATGATTATATATCCATGGTGACAGAGTAAGTCAGTGGAAAAATAGGGTGAAAGAGTTGTCAAAGCAATTTAAGCAATTTATTGGCACAAGAAACTCTGTTATCAAGGTTGCAAATAAGTCATCAACTTCAGGCATGGACATGCACCAAAGTGTTTCTTAAATTTCTGCTTGCTTGGACAAGCATGCTGACTTCTCAAGAGCATGCTTCGAATCCATAATAACCTGAGAAAAATTTTAAAGTAATGGAAGAAGTGCTTATGTAATTCATTTCTAAGTCAACAGGGGATTATATTTTAGATGGCGTTGGAGGCTTGAGGCAGAAGCCTGTTAGAGATGATGACTGTGCTGGCAGCCTGCACGCTCCCAAGTCAGAGTTATGCCACTGAACATTGAGCAGCAGGGCTGGGAAAGTCGTGTGACTGGAGAGCTCCACTGATGGCCCTGTGAGTCCAGATGACTCCATTCTGGGGAACACGAGATGCTGTTACATATTTTCTAATTACAACAAAGTCTATTCTCACTGCTCCCAAGAGGGAAGGTGGTTTACAGTTAGATAGCCCTAAGTTTGAATCCGGCTCAACTTGGTGACTGTGGGCAGATCACCTAAACTCTCTGGATCAGTTTATCCATCTGTGCACTGGTTATTGTAATACTTTGTTCATAGGGTTTTTGTTTTGTTTTTTCTTTTTCTTTTTTTTTGAGGATGGAATGAGATAATGTCTGTAAAGCCTTTGGCATAGTGCCTGGCATGCATTAAGGGCTCAAGCAACAAGAAAACCGAAAGGGTATTAGAGTTTTCAGTAAATCATCAGACATAAAAAGACATTTTTGAGGACTTGATACCAGACACATATGCCTTAAGACTGTTATGCCAGATAAGGATATCTGTTTGCTTTGAATTAGATAACAGTGGAAGTGACAGAACCACCCTGATAAATCAGTGTCACCATTTTGCTCTTAAATACTCAGGCCACATTTTTAATTTATTTTTTATCATCCAGCCCAAAATGTCACTGGGTCACATTTTAAGGAGAAGCACATAATTCAGGTGCTATTGATGTCAGTGTCAGATGCAGCGTTGTTCTTTGGCTTCCTAAGAAAAATAAAAAGGGTGGTCATTGGAAGCCATGTTGATGAGACGGCCCATGAGGCCAAGCTCTAATCGTGAAGGCAGACTCCTTTGTGGGCTGAAACCAGGAAAAGTCTTGGCAAGTGGGATGCCTGGCCAAAGAAACATGAGCTCTGAAGTTATGACTTGAGTTTGTATCCCAGCTCCATCAACAGTGTGTGGCTTTGGGCATGTTACTTATCTCTCTAAATCTCAGTCCATTCATCTATAAAAAGGGGGAAATACACATGAATTGCAGAGTTGTAAGGATAAAATAATATAACACAATGTATGTAAAACACCTGCTACATGGTAAGCACTTTGTAAATGATGGCAATTATGATCCTATAAGTAAGACAAGTACGGTCATGAGAAAATGTAAAATGCATTTGTGGTAATTGACATTGTTTTGTGACAAAGCAATCCTGTGAGACCAGATTCTCAGAAAGAATGGCAGGATACCGACAGCAGAACATTTGATTTGAAGCTTGGCACACAGGTGCAGTTCATTCTGGGAAATGGTTTGTGGTTTGGATCAAATCTCTGCCCCAGGTAATGTGCTCACCATTGCCCCGGGAAGACTGGCTCTTGGGGATAATGGGGGGCAGTTGGGACCTCCTCAGCCAGAGGAAGAGTGGTGATGAGCCTCCTGTGGACAGGAGCCCCACGTGTTATGAATGGTCAGGATGTAAGGGTGATGACCAAGTATAGCTCCAAGGGAGGTGTGTGCCAGCCTCAGTGTATGCAGTGTGTGGCCTATTTCCCCACTCCAGTCCTCTCTGCAGTAGGACGCCTATGTTGGGATACACGACTTGTGAGGCAGTCATGGAATCTAGAACCCAGAGAGCAAAAGGGCCCCCGTCAGGGAAGGATGAGGAGGAATCTTCTCAAAGAAGAGTGTGGCTGGTGCTCCTTCTGACCTGCTTCCAGTTGTTTCTGCATCTGGACAATTTTCTGAAAGAGGAACCCAAGAGGTGACTACTGCAGATATGATATGAAGGGATGTTTTCCAGATAAGAGAAGCCTCTGTTCAGCAGAGAACTCTGATCATGTACCAGAGAATAAACATGAATGAAACGTAAAAAACCATGGGGGTGGGAGTAGATGTTACTGCAGCTGTGCCCATCAGCAGCTCATTGAGAATCAAAGTCTCCTGAATATGGGAAGTTAGTGGTGTCTATCACTGTCTTGGGAAACCAGCCAGGAAAAAGGCTGAGGGACCAGGGATGGCTACGAGACATTGCTTGAAAAGGTAGGAGGTTTGAGTTGGTCCTTTCTGCCCTATTAAAATGTGTGCATCCACAAGAGACATTACCAAGTATGTTCCCACGTCCACTCCCAGAGGAAATGAAAGCCAATGACCGCATCCAGTGCTTGTTGGTCTGATGCAGTAGTTCTCAATTGAGGTCGATTTTGCTCCCCCAGGGGACATCTGGCAATGTCTAGAGACATTTTTGGTTGTCACATCTGGGGGGAGGAAGGGCATCCTACTGGCATCTAGTAAATAGAGGCTGGGCAAGCTGCTAAAGATCCAACAACGCACAGACAGCCCTGACAACAAAGAATCACCCACTTTCAAACATCAGTAGTTGAGAAATCCTGGTTTGAGGCAAATGTTCTTTTTAGATGGTGGCACGGATCATCTATCTCATCTATCTCGGCGTAGAATGGGGATATAGCTAGTCTGTTACCCCTTATTGGTAGCCATAGACATAAGAGGCCTTGGTGAGAAGACAAACAATTGGGAGTGGAAATGAGCCTAAAGGAAGCCTCAGGCTAACCTCCCAGGTAGATGGAAGGATAAGGGCAGAGTTTTTCATTTCAAGGCAACTCTTACTTACTTAAGCAGTTTCCATAAGCACTTAATTATATGTGTATTTCCCTAAGGAACTCTTGAGGCAGAGGAGACTTGCTTAAATTATGGGGATGGAGGCAGTACACAGGGCTTTAATGGGGTTAGAAAAATTTTTTTCCTTTGAAGGAGCCTTGGGAGGAAGGGAAGGGTATATTCCTCTTCCACAATGCAGAGATGTGGGGAGGATGGAGTGACACAGGAACAAAGAGGCAGAAAGGGCAAGGATTGGTTGTATGGCCTAACAGGTGAGGATCAGAGCGGAGACAGGAACTCAGGGAAGCTTTGTGCCTCACACCCCAATCTCTCAATCCATCCTGGTAATCCCTGACTGGAGGGGAGGGGTTCAGGAAGTGGCCCATTCACACCCTTCATGCCCTACTCCCTTCACATGAAAACACACACACAATCCTTTGGAAGATGTTCTAAACAGAATGGGGCCATACTGTTGGGGGAGGGGTGGATGGGGGAGAGCAGGGTAGACAGAACTTTTGGTGACAGGAGGGTAAGGGTTTCAGTGCATCCTCTATTTGCGTTCTCATTCCTCTGTTGCAGCTGGAATGCCTGGAATGTGTGCGTTTCTTCTCTTTGGGAGACATCCTCACCTGAGTAAGCTAGGTGGGGACTAAGCTTGAAGGAACTATCACTCAGATTTGACAAATAAAGGAAAACTGGGGAGAGGGCATCTTATGGCCTTAGATTGGCAAGACTTCAGCTGATATCCCTTGGTTAAGGTTGAGTTGGACAGGGATGAACTGGGTGGTTAGTAGTGGAAGGTGGAAAGCAGCAGAAAGGACCAGGTGGCTAGGCCTGTCTCTGGTCTATGACACAAAAGATGAGATCTACAGGGGAGCCCTTGACTCCCCCCTCTTCTGTGTCTCCACTGGAACTGGAATGCATGTCTACAATAGCACCTATTGTCTGTGGTGGACTCTATCTGTGCCCACCTTCTCCAGCAGCCTGAGCTCCCGAGAGCAGGAATCATGTCTCGTTCCACTGTGTGGCCTCCAGATCTAACAGGACTCATACAGGTACATACAGGAATTCACACATTTTATGGTGTATTTCTATCTTATTCAGCCTGCTGTTGCAGAAAAGAGCACAGGGATTCAGGCAGACCTACAGCAAAGAGTCCATGGGGTGGATATATGCCATTCTTCCCATCTCTCATAAGTCAAAAGTGTAGTGGTGCTGGCAAAATAGGGCCCAACAGGAGGGGAGAATGGGGTCCAATAGGGGATAACTGGAGATAACATCTGAGAAACATGGGCAAGATTTAGAGCCCTAGAACTCTTCATTTAATTGTTAAATATCTGCTCTGTGTAACTGCCCAGATTGGCTCTGTTCTTGAGTCCTTTGGCCTGAGATTGTGGGGCAGCAGAATAGGCCAGAGAGCCCAGATGAGCTGAGCAGCACCTGAGGTTGGTAAGAGACGCCCAGCCCTGAGGAGGTGGAGATGGTGGTTATCTGTGAGTGTGACATCTAGGCTGTCTCTACCCCCAGAGAAACAAGGGTGACACGTGTGCAGCAGGTGGGCCTACACGGAGGGGCCTCCTGGCCTGTGAGCATCAGAGACCTGGCAATGCCAGGAGGCCAGGCTACTCTGGACCTGAATCCTTTTCATTGACTAGCTCCCCCAGAAAACACGTCGAATATTGTCAGGGAACAGATACATAGTATTTCAGCATCTTCAAGGGATTGAAGACGTGTGTTGCTGTTTTGGCCCATCCTTCCACTTTCTAGAAGTGTGATGATGGGCCTCTCTGAGCTTTGGCCACCTCATCCAAAGAAGAGAGATGGCCCATCTGCCTTTCCTGTATCACAGGGCTACAGTGAGGCTGAAATAAGTTGATGTGTGGGAATGCTTTATAAAGTACCATGCAACGTGCCCTGGTTTGTACAACTCATTTATTCAACAAAAAAGTACAAGCCTCCCCTTCAATCAAGACCTGCCTGCAGGGGTGGGCTACTTCAGTGTCTTGAGCCACTGGGAGCTAGAGGGTTTAATACTTTAGTCCACTTCCCTTCATCTCTGACCCCATCGACAACATGGGGCAGGGGAGTGAGGGCCCGGTAGAAGGGTACTGAGGCCCCTTATTTCGTTCGCTGGTAGAACTGGAAGACTGCTTTCTCCTGCTCATAGGTCTCGATGGAGCCGGGTCGCAGTCGTCGGATTTCAGCAATGGCATCTCCTGCAGCCAAGCCCCGCTCCTTTACCAGGTAACAGGCCAGCATGGTGCCAGTGCGGCCAAAGCCCAGGGCACAGTGCACTCCCACAGCCTATGAAGAGGGAGCTCGATGGGTGCCGCCCAACTCCCCCAACCCCAACTGTCTCCTGTCCCTCACTTGGTTCTCCCCACAGCTCCTTCTTCTGTGCCAGGTCCAGGGCTCTGCAGCAAAGTCAGGGAGGGCTGTCCCTGCACTGGGTGGCTAAGAGGCCTCTGCAGTGGCTGGTTCAAGAGCTGCCCGCCTCCGCACAGCCCTCCACCTGTAGTGTTCAATACAGAAACCACTCGCCACGGCTACTGTGGCTACTGTGTACTTGAAATGTGGCTAGTCCAAATTGAGATGTAGTGTGAAAAACGCAACAGGGTATGAAGAGGTAGTGGAAAAAAGAATGAAAATATCTCATTAAGATCACCAAAATTAATTTTATCGCTTCTTTGCTTTTTAAGAATGCGGTTGCTAGAAAAATTAACATTACATGGAGCCACTTAAGTTCCGTTATATTTGGGCAGCTTTACTCTAAAAAAAAAAAATGGTAAACAGCCTCCACCTGACTTCAACCCCCACCTCTCTCAGGTGTCTGTCCACACCCTTCTCTTTCTCAACTCACAGTATTAGCTGGTTTTCACCGCCTCTCCTCAAGCCCAGTTCGCACTGCTTCGCCCTCTCTTTAGTTCCTTCCGTTTAGCGCCTCCCTCCCCCGCACTGGCTTCCCAGTCTCCCGGCCAGTCTCCCGGCCCTACTGTCTGCCTCTAGTACCTCCCCGAGCCCAGTTAAGTTATTCCAGGCCGGGTCTCCCCAGCTCCGCCCGCGTCCCCGGATGACCTTCCAGGCCCCTCCCTCCCTGCGCTGACCCCGCCCTCTGACCTCTCCCCGTGCGTTGGCCTCGTCCACGATCTGCACGAAGCGGTCGATCTGGTCAGGGGCCGGCGGGCAGAAGTCGGGGATGCGCAGACGGTGCAGGGTGAGGCCGGGGCAGCTGTCGCTGTGAGGGGGCCCGCGCTCTGTCAGGGACACCAGGTGCCGCACGCCCAGGTCCAACAGGAACTGGTAGTGGGCGGGGAGCCGCGGCAGCGCCAGCCCCGCCAGCCGGCCTGGGAGCACCCAGGAGAAGTTGGGGGGCTGCACGCCCATCGCTGGGAGAGGGCACAGAACAGCGGGTCATGGGGGGCGAGGCTGGCCAGCCCCGCTCCGCCCACCCGTCTCCTCGCCCGCTCCGAGCTGGGTAACCCACCGCCTACCTGGCCTCGGCGCCTCCCGGGCCACGTGGTTTGCGGGGCGCCGTCCTCGGGGACGCTCTACCCTGCCGCGGGGATTGGCCCAGACCCTGGGGCGGGGCTGGAACGCGGAACCCAGGCTCTGAGCGACCGAGGGAAGCGCCGCGATACCGCCCCGCCCGAGCAGGTCACGCGGTGATTGGCTGGCTCATCATAATGGGCGGGGTTACTTCCGCGTGGTTCAACCCACTCAGCTAAGAAGGAAGACCTGGAGCGAGTTAGGAATTGTTTGCTGCGGAAGGGGCAACCCGGGGTCGGGCTCTGCTGCGCCCTGGCGGCGTGTTGCAGTCATTGCGTCACTAGCGCCTGTCCCTGGCTCCCCGCGGGCCGGCCTAGTTCCACCTCCTTCATGCTGGATGCCCTGGGGTTTAAGAGATGACAAATCGGCTTTCTCCCAGGACGAGGAGTCTGCTCTCTAATGACTGACTGGTAGTTATCAGCGACTTTTTGAACTGTTCCAGTGAGAGGGAATTACTGCTGCACAGGAGGCTATTCTCATTTTTTCATTGCTGGAACTATTAAAAACTTACCTAGGGTAATAATTATAGTAATAATAACCAGCACCAACAGTCAACCCCCACTTCTGTCAATCCGGTTGCTCCTCAGGCCTTATTGAGCATTTATTATGCGCCAGATAGTCTTCTAAGCACTTAACACATACTCATTTAATCACCACAGTTATAAGGTAGGTGATCTAATGAATCCCATTTTATGGATGAAAAAACAGAGGCACTGGAGAGGTTAATAAACTTGACCAAAGGATGATGACTAATGCCTCCAAAATCTTTAATAACACCGCCATTTCCTAAAGTTAAATGGAACGTTGTTTTCTCTTCACATAACCCCCTCATGTCCCCAAATATTATCTGGGTTAAACGCTTGTGGGTTTTCTTAATTTTTATTAGTATTTCATATTTCTTCATTTTTCAAGGCTAGTTCTCTGGGTCACTGTCCCCTGAGCAGGCTAGAGTTGATTAGTGTTGTTCTTACAAGGTGGGGGGTCCTAGATCTGAACACCGTTTCCGCTGTCATCTGACCAGTCCATATCCTCATTTGAGTAATGTGCTTGTAGCGATGCAGACTAACTGTAATTATGAAAATAGTTAACCCTTACTGAATTTGTTTATGTGCCAGGCCCTGTGCCAAGCACTTTCTGGAAGAACCACATGTGAAAGGCATTTTTGTATCTTTTTTGTACATGAATCATTGGAAGCTTAAAGAAGTTGGTTAACTTGGCCAAGGACACAGTGATCCAAGCCCAGGGCACTTGGCCATGAGGGTGTATTATATTTCCTTCCCTTTGCACCTACTTATGACACACGTTTGACCATTTAAGCCTTTGGCTTCAGCAAGATGGAAAGGAATTTGTCTTCTCCTAAAGATCAAAGCCTGCTCTGACCCTGTGGGAAATACACTTACCGTTTACCCAGACAACTACTTTCCCCAGGTTCCAGGAGCTGCCAAATCTCCCCTTTTGTTCCTTCCAGACAATCACAGCCCTAATTAAGCCCTTCCTGTTTGCACTCTCATTTCCTACATAAATTCCTATCAATCTTACCGGCCCTCCCCAGTTTATTCCTTTCTCTGTTTCCTAGCCATGGTCTCTCAGCCACCAGTCACCTCTTCCCCCCACCCCCTGACCTCCCACTTCTCTTCCCTATCCAACTGCTCTTCAGGATTTCTGGTCGCACTTGTTCTTGTGAGTTAACCTCTTCTTAGTCCCTTTGCCTTGTTCTCCTTTCTTTGCTTCCCCTACTCATCAGGGAGCTTTCCACTTCACTCCCTGCCCTCCTATGTGCCCGGTCTTTGCCTTCTTGATATCCAGCTCAAAGCCCATCTTCTCCAGAAGGAGAAAATTTTTTTGGGAGACCTAGATCTTCCTCTTCCCTGAGTCCCCTAATAGTGATTATCTCCCTCTTGTGGGTTTCTGCAGGGCTAGCAGTGCACCCATCAAACCACTGGGGCCTCCCTGTGGACAGGCCATTGGCTCCCTTTTTAGGAAGCTCTGCCCTTCCCTTCCAGCAGACCCAGATGGAAAGGGCCCAGGGTCCCTGCCTTAAGCTGTGTCCCATTGTCACGGGTGCCATTTGATGTTTTGTCTTGGGCCCAGGGGGCCTCAAACTGTAAGGAAAAACCCTCTCTGATGGTTTCGTGGCTCGGACTTCTGCAGTTAACGGGACTTCTGCAACTAACCACCTCCTTGTCTGCCCACATACATGATACTGACCTTCTTTTATTTTCTCCTCTGTACAGAGTTACCTGACCCTCAGGAAGATTTAGGCTTTTTTTGTTTGTTTGTTTGTTTTTGTTTTTTTGTACTCCCATCTCACCTTGTATAAATATGTCTTCCCAGTATAGTAATTTCATTGGATTGAGGATATTTGTTTGCACAGGAGGCAAGAATGCATTGTTCCATCTTTGAATTCCACACATCTAATATGGAGCCTGAGCCACAGGGCTCAGAATGTTAAATAAGCAAATGAATGGGAAATTAATAAGTAGAATGCATTGGCAAGACTGGGAAGGTACATTTCTAGGAGTGAATATGAGTCTGTCAGACCACGTGGCAATGTGCGTTTGTAATTCTTTTTAAATGCACAAGTTTGAGGACCGTGTTGAGTATTGGATAGTATCTCTTTGAAGTGTATTTTTTACTTGACTATGCTTTTAAATAAAGAATGGCTGTGTCAGTATGATCTTGGCTATGTCTAATTAGTATTTTTGTGAAATGGGATAAATAAAGCTTGTTCTTTATAGAGCATTGCTCCTGTGGTGTGCATGTGTGTGATGGCATGTATATGTGAGTGTGTTGGAGGGGCCATGTTCCTGGAGAACAATCTATTGACACTGATAGTGGGCTGAGTAATAAGCTTAAGAAATTTCCCTGACTTCAAGGAATTTACAACATCCTTGGGGGGGATTTAGACTCTGATGTAATTATTCTTAGGACATATAATAAAGTATTAAATTGCTCATCAAAGACAATCAGATAATACATATTAAAAAGCCAATTGTGCAGTAAAAACAAGTGCAAAAGAAGTCAGTGGGGGGAAGATAAGCTTGAGATGGAACTACCAGAAATGTCTTACGAAGAGAGGGATTTTTCTTTCCATTTTGTCTACTGTCCAATGAAACATTCAGCAGACCCAGCAATCCCATTACTGGGTATATACCCAAAGGAATATAAATCATCTATTATAAAGATACATGCACTGTATGTTTATTGCAGCATATTCACAATAGCAAAGACATGGAATCAACCTAAATGCCCATCAGTGATAAAGAAAATGTGGTAGATATACACTGTGGAATACAATGCAGCCATAAAAAGCAATGAGATCATTCTTTTGCAGGGATATGGATGGAAATGGAAGCCATTATCCTCAACAAACTAACACAGGAAGAGAAAACCAAACACTGCATGTTCTTACTTATAATTGGGAGCTGAATGATGAGAACACATGGACACATGGGGATGGGGGACAACAAACACTGGGGCCTGTCTGGGGTGGGGACTGGGGGAGGGAGAACATCATGAAGAATAGCTAATGGATGCTGGGACTAAAACCCAGGGGATGGGATGATCTGTGCAGCAAACCACCATGGCATACTTTTACATATGTAACAAACCTGCACATTCTTCACATGTACCCCTGAACTTAAAAAATAAGGCTCAACAGATCATTTTTAGGGTATCCCAGCTTCCCTTTTTCCAGCTGATAAAAATGTTTTGACTTAGTTCTTGTTCATGTTGAAGCCCCAGTTCCCTGATTGGCTTGATGCTAGTGGCAATTAGGGGTGCAACTGGAATCAGAGACTTTATTCCTCCAGGTAGGTCCCTGTGTTCCACCAATGCAAAGGATTGCTTGGGTCCAGGTTCCTGTGGCCCTTGGACTACAGTCAGAATTCTCAGTGCCCTCAGTGTTCTGAGTTTTTAATGTCTAAACACACTTCACACCTAAGATTCAATGATCTGGAGATTGAACCTAAGAAGAAATCATATGGCAACTAGCTTCCAAGATGGCACCCAATGAGCCTTTTCATGCCTGCGTAGTCCTTTTCCACATTGATAGGGCTGATTTTTGTAACCAGTAAGATATTGTGGAAATGGTGGTTTGTGACTTCCTAGGCCGCATCAAAAATACTTAATTTTTGCCTTGTTCTCTTTTGGAAAGAAGACCTGCTGTGGGAAGCTTTGGGAAGCTTTGGGAAGAAGCCAGCTGCCATGTTATGAGAACACTCAAGCAGCTGTGTGGAGAGATCCATGTGGTGAAGAACTGAAGCCTCCTACCAACCATCAAGTCAATGGCTCACTATTGTTGCAGTGAATTCTCCAGCCCATGAAGAGTTTAGATGACTTACCCAACATCTTGATTATAGCCTCATGGATTCCCTGAGCCAGAACAACCCAGCTAAGCCTCTCCTGAATTCCTTACCTATAGAAACTGTGAGATAATAAATATTTATTCTTGTAAGCCATCAAATTTTGGGTAATTTATTATGCAGTAATATGTAGCTAATATAGATAAAATATTCAATTTGAAGGAAAGAAGAAAAATAACTTACAATAAACTCAAGAAGTAAAATAAAATTAAGGTTAATTCAAAAAGGAAGAATTATGCTGTAAGCAGTTGTGGTCTTGTGTGTATGCAGGGATGTTGTGATAGGTTAATACAAATTTTCCATATTTGGAGAACCATGCTTTGTGGGGGAACCAACCAGAGTAGTCTGGGCATGAGTTTTATATGTGTATGGTATTGGAGGTATAGGTTGCTGTGCTATTTGTATGGTTAGAGATGATATACAAATTATTTAACAATTGGTCACGGCACAAGAAGCAAGCAATTAGAATGGAGCCTCTACCAGAACCATTACCCGCAAACAAACAGTGAAGCTACCCTCATGTCAGTTGGATGTGTGTCAGCCTTCGGAGTAGAGGCTCTGAAATGGTCTGGGGTGTGGCCAGATTACCTTGGACATTTTAATATAGGTCTTTCCACAAGATGGCACTGATAGCTTTTCCTTGTTTCTCTTTTTTTTGTCTTGTTGAAAAATTTGTGATTTGTATACTGTTGCAGAACATACCATAACTGAAATCTCCCAATTTACTAGTTGATTTCTTGTACTTTTGACAAGGCAATTGCCTTTATGGCACTTAAAAATTTTTTTTTTTTTTCTTAGATCATTCCAGGAGCGCATTGAAAGTTTAAGTTGGGGTGTTGGGAATGCTGCCTCGCATCAGATGCTATCATCATGGGAGCTGCAGATGGGGAGGGAGGTGGGGACTAGACTGGTTTTTGAAAAGCCATTCAACAAAGGCAGGTGAGAGTGGAATCAAGAGGGAGCACTCAGTTAGGGGAGAGGCACTTCTGTGATCAAAACCATTTTGGTGGACTCTCTCACTTCTGTTCATGCTGCCTTGAGCCTCAGCTGAGCCGTAGCCTGGCCGGCACTTTGATATCAGCCTGAGGAGACCCTGAGCAGAGGTTCAGCTAACCTGTGGCCAACTTCTAACCTACAGAACTGACATCATAAATGGTGTTTCTTTAGCCATTAAGTTTGTGGCAATTTGTTATGCAGCAATAGAAAACCAATACAGTTGCCTTTATTTACTTTGTTTTCTTATCTTCAATATGCTCACCACAGCACTAAACCTTTGAAGTTTCTAAACTGCTGTATTGCTTTTTTTCTTTCCCCTTTGTTTTAAGTTTTGCAGTCTCTGAAACTATAGGCCGCATGGGTTCATTTTCCAGTGCAGATGCAACAAAATATGATGAACCAGTGGAGCTCACAAACTGTCAGCATCTGGTTTCCTTTTGGCACCTTCGAAACTCCTGGCTGCTCCCTCCACCACCTTTAGACCAGTGCTTCTCAAGGTGTGATCCACAGTTGATGTCACCTGCGAGCCTGTGATAAATGCAGAATCTCAGGCCGTCCGACCTATGAGATCCTCAGGTGGCTCATAAGCACACCTATGACTAAGAAGCCCTGGTGTAAGGCTTGTCTGTCCTGCAGCTCTGTTTTTCCTTTGGTCGTCGGTAGCACCCAGAAAGTGGTCTGGTAACAGAGGTGGTGAGTTGGAGATCTCCAGGTGTCTCTTCTCTGGAGCTGAGAAGTTTTAGCTGAGCAGGGCTATGGGCGGAGGATCTGGTCAGCAGAGAGAGAGGCCTCAAAGGGGCCTAACTGGCCTGGGTGAAAACTTGAAGTCAGTTAGAAACACCTAAGAATCCTGGATTAGAACAACCCATTGGCTTTATCTACAGGTTAGAAAGATGTCCAAGAAAAACATGCTTAATGTACATGTACCTTTCCTGTTTTTTGTTCCAAGGAAGCGCTTGGTTTCCGGATTTCCTTTCTAGAGGAATGCTTGAAACGTTGCTTCCTACTCTACCTATCTTTACACTAGTTTCCTTTCCAGGCAAGGCAAAAAGTGCCCCAGTCATTATCCTCCAATTTAAATGTCTCTAGCCTCCCTGTAGTTTAGGGGAAAGAAGGCACCACGGACAACCTTTTTTCACACAAGCCCCTCCTTTCCCCTCTGTAACAGGCCTTCTTCCCACCCAAATCCCATCCCCGCAAAACCTCCTTAGGACCCTTCATCTCTGTAGATCCCTGGACTGGCCTACTCTATTCCGGCCTCTACACATTTCCCCTCTGTGCATCCGCAGACTTTTACAGAGCACAGAAGTTACTTTTCCAGTTCTTCAATAACTCCTTATTGTCTTCAAGAACAAACCCCCAAGATTTACAGACTGGCATATCAAGCCCTCCAGGATGAGGCCTCTTGCTTTTTCCTTCAGCCTCACCTTACCTCATTCGTCTGCAGCAGTGCTTTTCCCGTTACACTGAACAATGTGCAGTCAGTCAGAGAAGCAGAGCTCTCCTATGTGCCTGTGCCCATGCTGTGCTTTTTTCCTGCCCTGCTCTTACCTTTGGCCTGCAGCAACACCTCAGCTTCCTTAAGTTTCACTTTGGAAACAGACCACTTTCTCTAGGAAGCTTTCCCTGCTCCAATTCATGTTTTGTGTCCCTCTTCTGAGCTTCTGCAGTGTGTGTATTAGAATATTTATGACATTATATATTAAACACATATTAAAGCTTTTATTGCTATATTATAAAATAATATGTTTATTGTAAAAGCGTTAAAATACGTACACATGCAAAATTTTAAAAATGATCACCTATTACCTATTTATATTAGTTGGTGTTCAATTAGGAAAAGAGAAACCATTCTATGCTCTCCTAGTAGGAAAGGAAGCAATATAAGGAATTCAGGGTTTACATACCTGGCAGGTGGGCTGATCTGAGCTGGTAACATCTAAATGAGATTCTCTTTAAGATCCTTCCTGGAAGCAATTCCACTGTAAGTCTCAGGAACTTCTGGGAAATTCCCACCAGTTATCTCAGTCTCTGGCACTCATGTGGGGGGGTCTCAAGAAATTCACCTGAATGCTGTTTTCAGCCTTTCGTCTGCCTATGCACTTACCTGTCTCTGGCAAATGATGGTCTCTCTTTTCTTTCCAAATCTTACATAGGTGCCTCTCATTGGCACTCAAGATCCATGGGAAGGATTTTGGAAAAGTTGCTCCCAGGATCTCCTCTCTGGTACAGAGAGCTTAGTCATGAGTGGCATTGATATTAAGTTTATGAGAAACAAGTCACCTAAAGATAACCACATTTTGGTGCACCACCTTTCACATATATTTGCGTGCATGTATAATGCACATATAAAACTCTCTTTTTAGTGTGCTCTCTCTATATCTATATACATTTCTCCCCTCTGACTCCTTCAAGGTTTAATGAGCGCTCTTCTCTACTTTGTAGAGTAGGATTCCCAGCACTGGCTTGATGACACCCTGGAGTGTCTTCATTTATCTCAGGGGGTGCCTTGAAATTCACAAAACAAGATTAATTTAAATTCATTTTCATTAAAAAAGTAAACAGACATTATATAGTAATTACAGGTACAAGTGTGTGTGTTGAAATCAAACTAATAAATGCTTGCCTTAGAGAGAAATTAAGAGGATGGGGGTGGGGTTGGAAGGGACCACAAAGGTGGTTTAGTCTGAATCTTTCCTAAAACATTTCTCCCCACGAATTACTGCCAGGTTGGTATTTCCCCAAAGTAATCATGTTTCTCAAATTGGAAGTCTGGGCTGTTGGGAATGAAAGCCCCCAGTATGTGGGCCTATCTTCTGTGTATACTATGAGCCTGACATAGAGTATACCCTCAGGAAACACATTTGGATTGACTGTGTGTAAGGGTGGGACATGGTGGTGGTGACTAGGGAGGGCGCATGGCGCATGAGAGTTCCAGTTTTGTGGGGTTGGAGGCCATGACACATCAGCACAGATAGTGACCTGGGTAGCAATCCCATTTGGATTCTAGGAGAATATAGTCTCCCAAACAATCAAGGAGACAATCTAGGCCAAGATGTCATTGGCCTTAGGTGACTGTAATTACCTTTCTATTAACAATTTGTGCAAAGCATCAGAAAGTCAGATAGGTCAAATAACATCAAAGCCTATGAGTATCAGTGACATCCTGCTAAGGATACAGTCCCAAGGCCACAGATGTAGGAAAAAATTCTGAATTCTGCTTGAGACCAGTGTCTTTGAAGCAATAGAGTTGGTGGTGGGTTCAAATCCTGGCTCCGCCACTTAAAACTATTTAACCCCGAATAAATTGCTTTACACCTCAGTGCCCTTCTCTATAAAGTAGAGATAAATCATAATACCCACCTCAGAGAGTTGTGAGGATTAAATGAGTTAATCCTGTAAAGTGCTTTGAACAATGCTTGGCACAGTGAGGAATCAATAAACACTGGCTATTGTTATCATCAGCATCACAATAGGCTGCACATACTTATCAGGACCAATTGGTAGCAGGAGTTTCAAATAGAGTATGCATTACTGGCCCCATCTGGTCCCCAAAAATAGGTTCAGGAACCCCTCCTGTTGTTCCCTACGTTGGGGTAGGAACATCATTTGCTAGAACTGGAAACTTAGGCAGAGGAGTTATTGTATTACAAGCAAGCAAATAGACAAAATAGAACAGAACAAAATAAAAAAAAGCAGCACATGCAAATTGAGTTCTCAGTGAATCCCCTTGTTACACTTTGATGGGATATTCTGCTTCATGGGAAAAAAATAGTGCAAACATACCCGGATTCTTAGACTCACAATTGGTAGCAAGGGAAGAATGTGTCTTTTAGCGCAGAGTTTTATGGTCTATCAATCCTTGAAAGGAAGATATCATTAATCATGAGTCAGTTTCAAAATGTGCTCATCATTATCCACTAGTGTTGATGAAAAACCTCAACCTCTTCTGGAGAAAATGACTGTTAGGAAAAGAACCTTTGAGGCCATTAAAACACAGCCATGATTCTCTTTATTTTAGTGAAAAACTAAATATACCTATATCCTCAGATGGGAAAGACAAATCAAGTCTAGCGTCTAATCTTAGCAAAATTCAAATACTGGG